CTCTCGCTTTCAGGCTCCCTCACGTCGCCCCCCGGCCCCCAGCACAGAGCTCTGCACAGCGAGGCCTTGGGACAAAGCAGCTCCTCCTCCCCACGCTGCGTTCCAACCTGCTGCCTTTCAGCTCCCCCTTCCCTGCTGCTTTAAAAGGATGCATTACTTGTTTTTCTCCACGCTTTTTAAGAAGGTGAAAGGATCTGTAACAGCACCGTTCATCTGCCCGCTGAAAAAACGCTCGCCGTGAAAGCAAATGTTATCATAAAATAAGCTTTATAACAGAAAATAAATTATATACAAGATTTTACCGACCAGAGTTCACACAATCACCTGCAAACAGATCGACTGCAAGACCACAAGAAAAGCTCTGCAGATGACACCAGCACAGGGAGGCTCCCATCCTCCATCTCATGGCACTGACACAAAATCCTCTATGAGAAGACAGAGAGAACAAGCACCCCTGCAGAGGCCTCAGTCCACATCCATCAGTATCGCCGATTCATCTTCTTGAACTTCTCATAGTGATAATCGTCAGTTGCTTTTTCATTGGGCGGACGTTTGCGATTTGGAGGAGAGCCTTCAGAAGAGAGAGAGAGTAATCACATTTCCAGTCCTTTCCCTGATGTAACCAGGAGGAGACGTTTCCTTAACTCCAACCTTGTGAACTCCTGTAAAGCCACACAACTGCAGTCCCTTGCTGTGTGAAAGCTTATCTTTCAGCAGTCAGTGCTCCCTAACCTAGCTTCCCTTGCCACCCCTGCTTTCAGCAAACCCCTATCATTCAGCTTGGTTAACGCATTTCTGTTGTGACCTTTGCTACTCCACCTAGAGGTATCCCTAAACAATCCTGCATCCAGATGGCTTCCTGGGGGACCTCATACAGGCACAAAGACAGCTACATCTCTGTATGAGACCCTAATGTGTTCCAGTACCTTCCTTAAGACATTTCAGATTAGGAACTTACGTTCAGGTTCTGGCCTCTCTGTATCCCCCACTCTCAGTGGACGGGGCTTCGGCTCTTCCTTATTCCTTCTCACTGGTGCATTTAGCTCCTCGTGATAAACTAAAGGAAGGAAAACATCAGAGTACTTCAGAGTTGCATTCTTCATATAGATGTATTTCTACGGCACTTATTACGACTGATCTTTAGGAGAAACAACAGAACCTCACTACAAGCGTTCTAGTAATTGGTTTCTATGGATAATCAATACACACAAGATGGGGTACACCAAGTTTCAGAGGCACTATTTCATCAGAAGTCATCCAAAAAATCTTCATTTCCCTCAGAACACAAACCTGACACCAAGTCACCCCTGTAGATATGGTCAGACACAGCAGAAGGCTGCCTTTCCTCCAGATGGCTGTGGTATGAGAGGCTCTCCCGGAAATTAATTCCTATCTCCTGTCTAGTAAGATCTATGTATGTTTGACCACCTGTCTGCTTTGGCAGCCCACAAAATGGATTCTCTCTATTATAACCCATCATTTATAACCACAGACAAGGCAGACACTTCCAGCACACGTTCGAGACATAACTTAAAGAAAAAAAATCTTGAAATTTATGAGGAACTGTCAACTGGGAGTTCAAGAGCAGAAAGTCAGGTCATAAGTAATAAGCCCCTCTCTTTGCTGATGGATGGGGAGGGGAAAAAAAAAAAAAAATCAACCAACAGGCAAACCAGATGGAGCCTATACATGCATCCCAGAGAAAGAAACCAGACAGCTGCTTGTGTTGATACACAGACTAATTTCTCCTGCACAGACTCCATCTCAACTGACTGCTTTTCTCTAGCAGAGGGGCAGGTCAGACTTGGGTCAGGACAGCCACATGAGACTTACATCTGTTGTGCTGGACATAGTTAACAGCCATGTTTGTGGGAACAAAGGAAGTTTCGCTGTCTTTCTTCTTGTTCTGCTGCTCTGCCAGCAGCTTGGCCTTGGCCTCTTCAGTTGAGATTATGTTTTTTATTTTTGCACTAGAAAAAAAATAAAGAATTAAAAACTCATTCATATTTAAGAAGAGTAACAAGCAAGTAATAAGTTGTTCAAAACAAATGGATTTGCATGTGTAATAGTGCTCACATTGTATTTGCTATAATTTTTTTTGAGAGGCAGCAGGCTATAGCAACTTTGATGCTTACATGGTTTGTTCAAAAGGTAAAAGGGAAGCAAGCATCTTTCACACATCCTATTTCAGTGCACAACATATATGGATAAACTCCAGAGAGCTGTAGTCTGCAGTAACAAAAATGTAAGTGCCTCTTCCCAGAGGTCATGCTGTCACGCTGCACTGGAATCCTACTGCTGTGTTTAATTTAACATGCAGTGCTAAACACCCCACTAATCCAGACCAAGACCGAATCCCATCACAGAGCCAAATGGGGGTTGTATAATCCAGCCACACCAGTGCTCTGCCGACCAGCAGCTTCCAATCACAGTGCTCATCCCTGTAATTCAGGCCATAACTAACAGATTTATGAACAACATACTCAATTCCCAGGTCCACTTCAGGAATGCCACTCAGCATCTGGTTGGACAGCATCTCTTCAGTCTTCTTGGCAGAGGAGACACGGATGTTCTCTGGCAGCTCATACAGAGAGTCCTCAGCATTCTTAAGCTTCACCTTCTGTTCCTCATTCTCCACAATTCCTTTTCTCTTCTTCAGCTCCGTCTCAATGTACTTCATCCTAAAGAACAATCCACGAGGGATATGTGGTATTTAGTTCTGTTTTCTGTACTCGGACCTAATTGCTGAACACAGCTGCATCACTCTCCCAGTGGCTAAGAGAGAGAAATGAATAATTTTTCCAAAAGCAGTCAGCTAGCATCAAGAGCACAAAACAAGATATTTGCAACTCTGATCAAGGTCTTCCAAGCTCTTCCATAACCATAAGGGAAGGCTGCTGCTGGTATTTAATGCTACCCCACTGGCACCTCCCAACTTTGTTCATGAAAATGCCTGCTCAAGTCTGGCAGCCAGAAGGTGAAAAAGCAGGTGAGAATCAAGAAGATGTTCTGAGACATTCAGTATCCAAGATAAAATAAATAAATAAACAAAATGAGAGGACCCAACCCAGAATTCAACATCACAGACCCCATGCAGCTCAACTTACATGTCAGCATCCTCATCCCGCCTGTTGGTTTCAGCTGAGAAGGAAGTTCCCAAGTTCAGATCTTCCTCTTCATTAATCCTAAATGAAAACCACACTGTTGCAGTTGTTTTTTTGTTTAACTAATTTGACAAGCTAGGGTAGTAGCAGCCAGTAAAACTGCAATATATTAAGTTCTTCAAAGCAGTACAATTTTTGGTTAATTTATTGCTAGCTGTGACTTACTTCTAGTCCAGGGAAAGATCTTCAGAGCTCATATGCACTCACCTGTCCTTGCCTCGTTCTTTCAGTTTTTTCATGTCCACCATTCCCCCAGATTTTATCTTAAATGGGTCATCCTGTAGTAAGATAAAATACAAAACCCTGAAGCTCCCTTTTAGTTTAATGCTAGTCTTCAAAATCTGGATAAAAATGGAGAAAAAGCATTAGGCTGTAAGAAGCAGACTCCTACAGTGATCAACTGGAGCACACCAAAGTTTTCACATCCTTAAATCTTAGCAACAAAATATCCGATGAAAATGTCGAGCACTTACCACAAGTGTTGCCTCTTCTTGCAGCTTCTCTCCCACAAGCAGAGCTACAGCGCTAGTTGGCCATAAAGAAAGAAACAAAATTCAGTAGAAGAAAATGCATTACCAACAATGTTGTCTTTCTTTGCCCTTCTCTAGATCTAGCAGGTTTCAAACACTTGTATTAACACTAAACTGACAATCTTCCTAACCCCTCCCTGCAGGTAGAAGAACTATCAACGTTTTGGGATGATGAATTCAGGCAGATAGATTTTAGTGCCTTGTAATGAATCACCAAAGTAAGGGACAAAGCTGGCTGCTGGTGCACATTTCAACTACTGCATCAGCTGCTATATGAGAGAGAAGGGAGAAAATATAAAAGGGCCAAAAGTAAATCTACTGTTCTGCTATATGTATAGTAAACAATCTGACTAAATACATCTCATGATAAATTCCAATCTTAGTCTTTTTTTTCCATAGTTAGGACATAGCACAGACTTTGCAGGCTGGCACCATGTTCCCATGTTCCTGCACCTGACTCACTCCATCTTCAGGCTTTGACACAAACTCCTCTGCCACAAACACACCTTTGGCACTCTGGGACATGGAGCTACTTCTACATAAAGCAGATGGGTACCGACAGAGAAATTTGCTGTTGCATGACAGTGCCAGATAGAACACAGCTTCGCACCCTTACCTCACCCCATTGGGTCGTTTCCTGAGGCTCTGCACTTCTTTGGCTTCCTCGAGTTTTAACCTGAAGAAAAAAAACCCAAACCAGTGGCCTTAGTACTCAGTGCCTCGGTTTCCTTTAATTCACCCTGTTTCATTTCCTGCAGTTAACACCAAGCCTTCTACACTGTTTTTACCCTACGTTTCTGCATATCAGTGCCTCCTTGTCTGGTCGGAGATTTAGTAAGTGTTTTCTCTTTTACCACACTTAAGGAATCCACCTATTGAAGCAGAAGAAGTGCACACGGCACCTGCTGGGCTGCATCGCTCCTGCACAGCTTCCTCAGCTGAGGAAAGAACGCAGGGCACGGAGCGGGGCGGGCGCGGGGCAGTGCCCGGTAGTGCCTGGTAGTGCTCGGTAGTGCCCGGTAGCGCCCGGCAGCCCCGCAGGCTCCGTCCCCCGCGCTCACCTGACCTCCTCGGCCAGCTGCTCGTCCTCCTCATCCTCCTCGGGCTCCTCCCTGCGCCGCCGGAAGGCCCTGGAGGCCGCCATCGCTCGGGCCCCGCTCCTCTCGCTCGCGTCGCGAGATGATGACGTCACCACTCCGCGCCGACGCCGTTCCCGCGGCCTGGCAGCCGGCACTTCCGGCGGCGCGGCCGGGAGCCGAGGGCCGCCCGGCTCCGCCCCGCCCCCGCCCCGCCCCCGGCCCGCCCGGCGCCCGCGGCTCCGCTCGGCCCCACCGCCGCCTCCCGCAGCGCCGGGCGCGGCCTCCCCGGCGTTCGGCCCCGCAGGTGAGAGGGGCGGCGGGGGGAGGTCCGGCTTACTGAGGCCTTCGCGCCTCGCAGCGGCGCCCGGCGGTCGGCGTCCCCCGCGACAGACGCGTGTCACGGCGGTCCGCCCCGCGCTCCGTGCTGCCCGTAGGCCCCGGGGCTGCGCTGCGCTCCGCGGCCCTCCGCGTAACGGCGGCGGCCGAGGGCTGCGGCGCGGGTACGGAGCGAAGGTGGGAGCTGGCGGGGCTGCGGGGCCGCCGCGATGCGGGGCGGGGCGGGGCGGGCTGCCCGCTGTCCCGTACGGCTGGGTGGACGGACGGACAGACAGACAGACGGACGGACGGACGGATGGCGCTGCGCTCCCATCGCACGCCGGGGGTTTTTTGAGAACGGATTTATTTATTGTGTAACTCCGAGTTTCCCGAGCCGCGCTTGGGAGCATCGCGGCCCTGAGGCCTGCGCTGAACGCTTCCGATGCGCTCCGTTGTGGCTGGGAGGTGAAAGTGACGCTTCTCGTCTTATTTAGAAAAGCAAACTTCGGGTGGGAGCGTCAGCATCCCGGCGCGGGCGGGCGGAGAGGCGCAGCGCTGGTCCCGGAGAGGGGGCTGTAACCGTCCGTCAGGCCGCGCTGTGTGCTCTGAATGCAAAACCCCCGTTTGGCTCAGCTGGGGGGAGCTGAAGCGGTCCGGAGTTCGTTTTAAAACAAGGTTTTTATTCATTCGATTTTCTGGAGGAGAAAAAAAAAATAAAAAAATAAAGGAAATCAGAGAAGCCGGAAGAGCAAAAACGGCACGGAGAGGTGGTTTGGTTTAGAGTTGGGTCTGCTGATGTGTTTGCGAAAAGGAGTCCGTTCTGGTGAAGGAACTGAGCCTGAAAAGTGCCCCAGTTCTGCGTGTCGGTCACACGCACTGCGCTCCTGGCACCTGGCGTCCAAATCCCCGTGTGTTACGTGGCAGCGTTTCGCTTCCCTGTGAAGCTCCTGAGCTCTCAGTTGCTGTTAAGCAGCTCATCCCAGGCTGCCAGGATGCTGCCTGCAGTCACTGCTGTGTTTGCAGTACAGAAATGTGATTTCTTCCAGTTTTGCTTTGCTCCTTCAGTTCAGGAGCACTGCAGAGATGCTGTTATAAAAGTATCCGTGGGGTTTGTCTTGTGCTAGGCAAGCTTTTCAGCTCCCAGGATAAGCCTTGCTGCAATGGCTGATGTGTTTATCCTCTTTGTTGTTATTATTATTTTCTTGCTGTCAGTAATTTGGACCAGATAACACTGGAAATTCTTTCTAATGAAATGGGGAAACAGCAGAGAGCAGAGGCTGTGCTCCTGAAGTTATCAACTTCCTAAGTTCATCCAAATTTTGGGTTTAGTTTATGTAGTGATTTGAGCTTTTCACACTGCCTCCCTTCCAGCCAATAGCAAGTTTGGATCCCAGTCTGTGCTGTTAATATCACTTCTCCTTTATTTTCCCCCTTTTCATTTTAACAGCCCCAAGCGAGGTTACTTGAGCTACGCTTAGGAGAATGCTTTTTTCATCTTCTTTTTACATCTGCACATTACTGAGACATGTCTGAAGTCTTTAACGTGGCCATGGAGCACCATGAAAGTGTTTATGGTGCTCGTAAGCATGCAGCTGTGAAATCCTCTGTGCTTGCAGCACTGTGCAGAACAGCTCCATCAGTCTTTGAGAGTCGTTCAAAATCCACCTATTGAATGGCAAATTCCTCAGAGACTGAAGATGGGTTATCAGTTAGAGATCTCCTAAATCTAATTCCCTCTTGTGCAGCTTCATTTAAGCAGCAGTCATGTTTTTAATGCCCCCAGCCACCAGATGCCAGGTACTTGTCCTGGGCTGCTGCGCCCTTTTGCTTTTAATCTAAGTTTCATGCAACCAAGTTAATTAGATCTGTATCTCCTTGTGCTGCGCGTTTATGTTTGGCAAGAGGAATGAAGTTCAGATCACCACATTTGTTTCCCCACCCTGGGATTACAACCCAGTTTCTAGGAGGTCAGGTGTGGTTTTTGGGTCTGGCTGAGCGTTGTCTTGCTCACTTAGCTGAGGTACCAAACGCTGCCAGTCAATAACAGGATGGAACTATGAGCTGAGAGCTCTGTGTCGCACTTAGATGTGATTTGATCTCTTTGAACCTTACATCTTAATTTCTGATTTAAATCATATAATATAAGAATTAGGCTAATTTATCTTCTTGCTGTCTGTGAGAGCAGTTCTGACTGTAACCAAACAAAACTGCCCTTTCTTGTCCCAGGACAACACCTTCCTGCAGTGAGAATGGAGGATACAAGAGACATCTGCCCTCACCTGGATTCCATAGGAGAGGTGACCAGGGATGATCTGCTGCTCAAATCCAAGGTACAGGGTGTTCTGGTTATCAGCCCCTTCCCTTTTTGCTGTTGTACATGCTTCTGCATGCTTGCTCTTCATAGAAAACGCTGCCTATCACTGTACAGAAGAGGAAAAACTCTTTTTCCACTGTTGTTGTACCTTGCACACGGCCCATCAAGTAAGCCTTTGTCAGTCCCATCTGGTGCATTTCTCACTGACATTTTATCCTGCTCAAACATGTCACTTATCTAACACACTGCAAAGTGTGTAATTGGAAGCATGGATTTAAGAAATGCTTTGAGCTGCAGGCAGGGGAGGCCTGCCACATAGAGGTTTCTCACTCTTGAAGGATAGGGTTACTTAAAAGACAGACATGCAGACAAACCTTTTTTTTTATCATGAATATTCAGGGAACTTGCCAGTCATGTGGAGCTGTGGGACCAAATCTCTGGGCTTGTCTTCAGGTAAGAACTGCTTGCTGTTTGTGTGGATGATATGGTGGGACTTCTGTTCAACATATTAAAAAATGTATTGGACCAGAAAAGAGGATGGCTGTACACAATAGAAATATCCAGTGCTTTTTGATGGATTCCAAGAAAAAGTCTCCCTAAATTAAAAGCTCATGCTGTCAGAATATATCATGGTGTAACAGTGCTCTCCTCACAGGTGATTTTCCCCTGATAGCCACGGTAGGAATGCCCTGCATTGGCTGCCTCTGCTGGCAACTGCAAAGGGAAGCTGCAAGTGTGAGATCTGTGAGGACGGTGTTTGGGGCAGTGGGGCAGAAAGGATCAACAAAGGGCATGTGGGTGGGCAGAGGCAGTTTGTTTGGAGTGCCCAGACTTTGGAGTCTGGTCAGATGAACCTGTTGGAGCAGTTATCTTGGAGTGGGGACTTCATGGGTGCAAACCTGATTTCTGGTTTTCTTAAATTAATCAATCCCAGTCATCTGTCTTATTCTAAGCCCTGGAAAGAAAAGCAGTCAAGAAGAATGGCAAGATCAGTTCTGAAGCTGCAGCTGTTGGTGGGGTTGGGGCTGCAGACCGTTTTGTGAAGTGTTTCATTTGGTGTGCCATTGTAGTTTTGCTCTTTCTCTCACTAGATCGGGTGTCCTTATGTTGGCTGTGGGGAGTCCTTTGCTGATCACAGCACTCTTCATGCACAGGTAAGCTTTTCACTATCGTCCATCTTAAGACAGAGGGGGGCTGAATTATTCCCATTACCTAATCCTCTTCTGCCCAAATTTGGTTCTTCTGTGCTTCAAGTTGACCCAACTGTCAAATCATTTTCTCACCTTTTAATTTCTAGGCCAAAAAGCACAACCTGACAGTGAATCTGACCACTTTTCGGGTCTGGTGTTACGCCTGTGAGAAGGAGGTGTTCCTGGACCAGCGGCTGGCAGCGCACACGCAGTCACCCTCGGTAAAGTTCAGTGAACCAGTGGGTGTGTGGCAGCCTGGCAGGGCTGAATGCTTGGCAAGCTTTTTGTTTCCTCATTGCAAAATTAGCCAAGAAATTTCCACTGTTGTCCAGGCTGCTATCACGTTAGGAACTCTTTCACTGAAAGTGGCTGCCTGTGGTCAGAGGACCAGCGGCTTTGCCTTGCAGAATCTCCCTGCAGGAAGGCTTCCATTGACTTCAATATCCATTTTGATTTTTTCTTTAACCTCTCCTGGCTTCTTCTGTGGGACATCTGTTTCTGGGAGGAGCCACAACAGCTGTGACATCTTCCTTTAAAATAAAAAATCAGCTTTCAGTCTTCAAACTGTGTACTTGTAACACTGTTACATGTTTCCAGTGCCTCTTTCATCATTAATACTGGAAGCAACAGTGGTGCCATTTCCATTCCCTGCATGCATTACTGAGAAGGATAGGCAGTACAACTGGTTCTTCTCTTCTGAGTGTGCCCTTTTAAAGGCTGGCTAAGTTTACATCTAAGATATTTCTCACAGCTCAACTTTTGAAGCAGGACTCTTGCTGATGGAGTTATTTTCTGTCTTTAATTTAGGATTCTCCATTGCCTGCTCACCCTTTGAAAGCTGTTCCAATTGCAGTGGCTGATGAAGGCGAATCCGAATCAGAGGATGATGACTTGAAACCAAGAGGTAACTCTGCATCAAGTTGATGAAAGAGCTGTGAGGGTAACTCTGCAATCTGTAGGACCTGCACTGAGAGGATCCTAGCAGCAGAGTGCAGAGCCCAGAAAGGGTCACATCATCTCTCCTTTGGGAAAGAATGTAGAAAGCAGCACTTCTGGAAAGTGTTTCATGCTTCTCTTGTTTGTGCTTTAGGCCTTACTGGAATGAAAAATCTTGGGAACTCCTGCTACATGAATGCAGCACTTCAGGCTCTCTCTAACTGGTAGGCACTAGGGCCTTTAGTTGAGTCTTTTACTAGACATCACTACATATCAGCAGTGGCACCTCTGATCTGACACCTTCCTTAGTTGTGCAAGGATAAGCCAGCCAGGCTAGGGACTGAAAAAGGAATAAGGAATATGAAAAATCTAGTGTTTAGGAAAACAGAAGTTCTGCAGTAGGAAAATGAGTGAATGGCCAACTTGTGGCTGTGTGTAAGATTTGTCTTTAGATGAATGCTGGAAGTAAAACTCCTTTACACCACGACAGAAACATATTTGCTATGTGAGAAAACATGTGATATTTCTCTTCTTTACAGTGGTATCATTCCAGCAACCCACACTGTAAGATATTCATTAGCCATTCTGCTGAAAAACAGTTTCAGGATCTCTGTGCTGGGAACAGATTCAGATCAGCCTTCTGTTTTCATTTACAGGCAGAAATCAAGTTTGCATCTAGAATCACTTCTTCCCTTGATTTAAAAACACTATCTTAAGTGTGTTTTCAAAAAGGGAGGCATTTAAGTTTTGATAAATCCTTAAATAGAGGCAGAGGAGAAATTTCTATGCTCTGAATTCTTCTTGTTCTCTTGTAGCCCACCTCTCACGCAGTTTTTTCTGGAATGTGGTGGTCTGGTCCGTACAGATAAGAAACCAGCACTATGCAAAAGTTACCAGAAGCTGGTGTCTGAGGTTTGGCATAAGAAACGGTGAGTGGTCACTCTGTTCTCATCTGTACAGATTTCGTATTTATCTTAGTTCTGAACTGTGTCATCAGCAAAAAGAAATGGCATCTTCAGTGATAAGTGCATCTTCTAAGGCAGACAGTTCAAGTCCTATACAGGCAGGTATGCTTGGATTCCCTCTTATCTAGGAGATCCTGTGTCATGCTGCTGGTGATTAAAAAATGGGCAGTGATGTTAGTGATAGAAAGAAGACATTCTTAATTTTGTAACTTTAAAAAGGAAGAGATTTCTTTATAGCTTTTCTGTTGGTAATGAAGTAAAAAAATGGTGTGATGAGGGAACTTTTGCTATTTCTGAGTACGTTGCATGGACTAATGAGCACTTGAAGGAACTGCTCTTGATCATCAGAGAGACTGATGATTTGGATGGAAGAAGTGATAGAGATCTGACACTGAGGTATTACCAAAAAATGAAAAATACAAGTGATTTTTTGAGAAATGTTTTCTACTGGTTCAAATTCTAGATTAGTGTAACACAGCGTAAAATAATGCAGCTCTGTTGAAATTTGAAGATGTCCGTTCTGTGAAACTAGTAAATTGGGGAAAAAATCAAGCTAGGAATCTGAATGACATTGTGTGTTTGCTTTGTGTTAGTTATTAACAAGGGATAAGCAAGATGCAAAGCAATACTGTGCATTTATGCAGTGGGCTGTAGCCTATGAAGCACTATCATGTCAATTTCTTATTGGTTTTGACTTACCTCACTTACTGGTCCTCCACCAACCCACCTGTCAAACATGCTGCTGCAAAATCAAACCAGGTAACTCACTGCCAAACCCTGCTCTGGGGGGAATCACTTGAGACAATGCCAGGTGTGGACAGAACTTCAAGCTAAAGTGTGCTCTAGGGAAGGTTCTCTGGAAGGAGAGAGTGAAATGACTGGGAGATGTTTTCCCTCGCTTGATTTCTCTATCAGCTGGGTGATGTATAAATTAAGTCCAGGCTTTGTGGGTGCATAATTATCTTCTGTCCTCCTTAACTAGCTACCACACCCTGTTCTGTTGCTTATTACACAAACTGGCTCCAGGCCTGATAAGCAAGCTAACTTTTGTTGTTTTTTTTCTCCATATCTAAACAGGCCAAGTTATGTTGTTCCAAGCAGTCTGTCTCATGGAATTAAACTCGTCAACCCCATGTTCCGAGGCTATGCTCAACAGGTGGGGCCTCAGCAAAAACTGCAGCAGTTCTGCTTGTGTTCAGAGAGAGGAGCTAGTACTGGGGTGTCACACTTGTTCTGTGTCTGTCCTAATGATCTGATAGAGCCCTCGGGTGGGATTCAGGAGACGTTGCTGTTACTGCATCAGTTCACCTTCTTGCGTCAGCTTTCTCACCTCTAAAGTTGTGATGGTGACCTCCTTTGTGAAGGGCTTTGAGATCTATTGGGACATGCCACATAAGTTAGGTATTATTCGTGTTAGAGCTGGGAAATCTGGATACATTTGTACTCAGAAGTTAAAGATGCCCATGTTCTGTATTCTTCTTCGGGGGAATTGCAGCTAACAAAATCTTTAAAGATAATATCTTTTTCTTTGAGGTTTTTATCGTGGCTTCCAGTGTTTATTCTCAAGAATAAAATGTAAACATCAAACTGTGTTTGATTAGAAAATTTACAAAAGAAGTGACAGTAGACAGTCTATCTAAACTGTGGTGCTGACAGCAAGTCAAAGCAGAAGATAAAAGTAATGATTAATGAAAGGATTTCTGTATTTATCTTTGATGTGAAGTATGTTGGATTGGAAAAGTCAGCTCTAAAGAGAAAGTTGAAAGCAAGGCAGAGCAGGCTGAAAGTCAAGCTTCGTTGAAGTAACAGAAACATCATAATTATCTTTCTGAAGTTGTCAAAATAGCAGATTGCTTTCCAGCGGGTGCTTTGAAGCCATGCATTTTTATCATGCATTGTAAATTTAGGAGCTTGCTCCTTGACTGTTCAGTCTTTGGCTTCTGGTTCCACTGCCTATTTATTAAAGATTTTAATCTGCCCTCTACAGAAGAGGGATTCCCATAAGCAGAAGCCAGCGATCCTGAAAACAGTTGTGTTGTTCAGTGTTCTCTTCCTGCTGCCTTTGGTTTCTTAGGTCCCTTGCCTCTTAGCAGTGGTAGTACCCTGGTAAACAAGGTCATAGTTTGGGTTTTGGAACTAGATTATCTTTAAGGTCCTTTCCAACCTAAGCCATTCTATGGTTTGCATGTTGCAATGGCTGTCTAGCTTTCATCATGTCTTTCAGATAAATACATCTGGATAAAAATTGGTTCTTTTATCAGTAGGAATTAAAGACATTTGCTGAGCAGACATGCTTGTTGATAAATCTCTGTGGTACTCTCTGCTTTAGGAGAGTTTCCTGATGTTGCAGAGGCTGATAACTTCTGTGGGCAGAACTGAGGCTGTGAATGGAGCCATCTCTTCTTTTGGCCTTCTTACTTGCCTGAATTCTGGATGGATGTGTACTAACACAGGATGAATCCTGTTTTCAGGACACTCAGGAGTTCCTGCGCTGCCTGATGGACCAGCTTCATGAAGAACTGAAGGAACCAATTGTTGCAGAGACACGAGATTTGGATATGGGTGACCAGGATGACAAGCGCGAGGGTGACCGAAGTCCTTCGGAGGATGAGTTCCTCTCCTGTGATTCAAGCAGTGACAGGGGTGAAGGAGATGGTCAAAGCCGGACCACAGGGAGCATGGGAGAGACAGAGTTGTTGATCCAGGATGAAGGAGGGAGAGGGATCTCTGAAAAAGAGAGGATGAAGGACAGAAAGTTCTCCTGCGGCCATCGGCGCAGCAACTCGGAGCAGGTGGATGAGGATGCAGATGTTGATACCACGATGATGCCAATAGATGGCAGAGCCTCACCTGAGATGCTCCCAGCTCCCCGTCCTGCCAGCCCATGCAGGACACCAGGTACAACACTCTTCCAGTTATGTTATTTGTGAGAAGACGTGTTGTATTCCTGCACTGGGTGCAACAACAACACATAATGGTGTGTTCCTTCGGTGGGTTTCAAAGATTTTGCATCCAAGGTTTTCTGCATTGTCACTGGCAGTAGTTCTGCCTTTGTGCACAATTTCTGTAAGACAACAGAGCAAGCTGGGAAACTTAGCCAGGCTAGAGTGCTCACAGAGCTGAGCGCAGCCTGCATCCTAAAGGCAGTGGTAGCTGTCTCTGCCAAACCTGCAAAAGTGATATTTCTGTACTTGTCCTAGCTGAGAAAAAGGTTTTATGTATGTATGTGGCTTTATCTAACAGACTGGCCTTGGGAAATGTTGGCTGTGAGAAAGATGTGGAAGTGGCTGTTGGTTAATCTTGGATTATGGACTCTGTGGGGAGAAAAGGCTGATGCACAGTTGGTGCATTTCTGTATCTCAGGGAAAAGAAAAGAGCAGCTGTTAAGACGTAGGTGTGGAGGCACCTCAAACTGAACATATCCCATCCTTCAACACTTATCGTTATATAAGAGCCTTACTCTGCCAGCTGGCACTGAAGGCAGCAATGCTGTTTATGTGGATAAGGAGTACAGGAGCAAGCTGTAAAACCTAATTAGTCACAAGTGTGAAAAAGTGGTGGATTGGTTGGTGGTTTTTTTTATAATTATTAGTTCTCTATGCACTCTTATCCATGCACTGAGAATGCTGTATCTACCAACCTGTGCAAGTAGGACAGTTAGTAATGACTGAACTGTGAGTTCTGGGAAAGGTTCTGTGCTGGAACACAGAGCTGGACTGACACCGGCTGTAACACAGTTGCCTTTCAGAATGGATTTTCATCTGTGCTCTTCTGCCTTCTCTTTTTCCCAACAGAACCTGACAACGATGCCTACGTGCGCTGCTCCTCGCGCCCCTGCAGTCCGGTCCATCACGAAATGCACTCCAAGCTCTCCAGCAGTCCTCCTCGCTCCAGTCCTGCCAGGCTTGGACCTTCCTATGTACTCAAGAAAGGTAGTGCAGGGCAGTCAGGTGCATGCTGCGAGGCAGAGGGGAGCATGTGGAGTGGAGGAGGAGGGGTTTGTTTGCAGAAGAGAGAAAGAATGCTCGATGATCTTTAATTAGCAGTTCTAAGCAGTGCTGATTCCCCTGGAACATCAGTGCTTTTTAAAGTCATACCAGGTAAAGACTACAGTAAGCTCGCAGGTAAAGTCAGGGTTTGGATACAGCAGCTGTTCTAGTATGCTTTTCCATTGGAGCATGAAATGATTTCCAAGTATACGTTTGCATGCTGTGTTTGTTATTGATGGAAGAGCTATGAAGTCCCAAACACAGCTCTGTCTCTTCAGGGGAGTGTGGAGATGTGTGAACGTTTGTCTGCCAGACTTGCATTTACTGTGTGTGAGTCAAGGAACCTTAAGATGATGTTACTGAGGGAGAGCTCCTGGGCTCTCTGACATCATGAGCTGTAGTAATAGAATTAGACTGCAAGCATCAGTCTGCTGCTGGAAGCATTGTTAGGCTTCAGGCTGGAGCCTGGCTTCTGTTCTCGTCAAACTGGCCTCTTAATCACAAGCAAATTGCAGAACAAAATCTCTCAGCATTGCAAAGCCACCAAACACAATGGCATGTACTTACACCATTGTCTCTACAGCTGTTCAGTAATAACATTCTTTCTAGAACTGTGCCCTGGCCTCTTGGCTGAGGTCAGCACAGCCACAGATGTTCTGGCCTGATGAAAAGCACTCTGTCTCCCTGCACGTGTGCATGGGGAGAGGGTTTGTTGTTAAGCAAAACTGTGTGCTTGGCCACTCACTGCTGTGGAGTCTGCAGGAGCCTGCACTGCAGGAGCACTGCAGGAGCACGAGACACCTGACAAACATGGTAAATGCTAGAGGGGAGGAATAAAAAGACAAAGTACACAGACAGACTAAGGAGAAAGGAAGTAAAGTGTAAAGCTTAAAGCAAAGCATAGTCCTGAACATGCAGGATCAGTGCTTCTCTTGTGATTGTGTGTCTGTGTGACTCTGCTTTAGACAGGAGACTGAGAAATTGTTGCTACATGATGTCTCTGTGCCTCTTTCAGCCCAGATGCAGGCTTCTGGGAAAAAGAAGAAAGAACTTCGTTATCGCAGTGTGATCTCTGATATCTTTGATGGCTCCATTCTCAGCCTGGTGCAGTGCCTCACCTGTGACAGAGTGAGTGTCCTGATAGCTGTTGGTCAAAGAGCAGTCTCCTATAGACCTTATAGACCACTTTTTTCTTCTTTTTTTTTCTTTTTTTTTTTTTTTTTGACAATGAAGCTTTCTATTTCCATACTGTGGGATGCAGTAGGCCTGCTAAAATCTTGTTAGGTGGGAGGTTTTTGAGACCTGCCATGCCAAGGAATTTTTAGCCTCCAGAGTGATGTTTGCTTATCTGTGCTACTGAGTTTGTCCAGCACCGTCACATTCACATCAGAAAACAAATTCCAACTCTACATAAAGATGGTGATAGTCCTCCTACTGACAGTAGATAAGAAGAACTAGCCTGAGCAAGTTGCTGTTACTGCCAGGTCAGGTTTCTGCAGTGATAAAAAGTTATAGAAGTCAGGTCCTGGCTTCATTCCATGCACAGGAAACCCAGGCCTTTTCCTCTTGGGTATTTCCAGGTTTCTACAACAGTGGAGACATTCCAAGACCTGTCACTCCCGATCCCAGGAAAGGAGGACCTGGCCAAGCTGCACTCTGCCATCTACCAAAGTGTGCCAGCTAAGACAGGGGCGTGTGGGGACAACTATGCCTCACAAGGCTGGATTGCTTTCATCATGGAGTATATCCGGAGGTGTGTTCCCCATGTAGGGGCTTTTTCTTCTGGGGTTTGCCCTGCAGTTTCTGAAAGACAGCTGTCCCTAACCAGTGTGCTTCCAGCAGAAATGTTAGCTGTTCCCTGCAGTGGGACAGTGTGTGGTACCCCAATTCTGTTCTGGTCTTTTCTTTTTCACATGAGCTGGTTGCTGCTGTTCCTCTACTTCTGTAATTGCCCTTGACATCTCTTGTGCAAATGATGGTCCTCCATTTCTGCCTTTAGCTCTGTCTTGCCCTCTGGAGCAAATTACCAGAGTAGCTGTGCAAATTACTTTTAGATTGAGCAGTTACAGTGGGAACATCAGCCTTCCCTGTGCCTTTGGGTGATGAGCTTATAACCAGCAGCTAGAAGAAAGCCCATCTGCTGGGAGTTTTGTAAGCCAAAGTGTCCAACTGTTTCTCTGCAACTCTTTCTCCCGATTCTCTTCTGTAGATTTGTGGTGTCTTGTATCCCTAGCTGGTTTTGGGGTCCTGTTGTGACACTGGAGGATTGTCTTGCTGCCTTTTTTGCAGCGGATGAGTTGAAAGGTGAGTTTGCTTCAGTAGGGTCAGACAGCCAAAACCAAGAAAAACTGCATGTAGGAATATTTCACAAGCATTCTGGGGGCACGTTACATCTAGAAACCCTGCTTTAATATTTATTTCACTTAGGGACTGGCACTACTAAAACTTGGCAGTTCAGCTCCTCTTAGAAACTCAGAAATGAGTTTTCCCATCTGCTCAGTGGTGGTGCTTTTTCATTTTGAATCTGAATGAGTGTTCTTAGCTAGAAGCAGACGTGGCTCTTGGGTGGTTTTTTTGAGTTACAGTGGCTCTTTAGCCTTCCTCGCTTCTTCACTTTCTCTGTCCAATTCTACTCCCTAGAGGATTAAACATTTTGCTGCAATCACAACGATGAGCAGTATAGATTTTTCTGCTGGTTGACTACATTGTCCTTCCCACCCTAACTGAGGGAAATGCTTGTTTTGATCTCTTCTCACCCTGGTTTCCCTTAGAAGCCACTCAGTGTAATTTTTCTGCAGGGGGTGGAAATGTATCAATTCTAGAGTTGTGAGGTCTGAGTAAGTGCATAACAGCTTTCTTCTCTTCATCTATAGGGGACAACATGTACAGTTGTGAAAGGTGTAAAAAGTAAGTCTGTGTTATCTGTATGGTATTTCTGGAACTTTATTACTTCATACTACTGTTAAACATTTTGCTGCATCCTCCCCCTGGACATCTCTTCTGTGTGCCACGTAAAGTCTGCCTTGCCTTGCTCCAGTGAACTCTTGAGAGTTCACTGACGTGGGCTTCAAGGGGGGGAAAAGAAACAAGAAGGGTGTGAATAAGGATGTGGCTTGGTAGCTATTGCACTACAAGGAAGAAGTGTGACAAACTGCTCATGCCATGCCTCATTTGATAAGGGTGTTGCAAGAAGCCTGAATTTGTTGCTGCTGAAATCAGGATCTGTCTTGAATTTCAAAGTGAGCAAGATGCAGCCAGACAATTGCCTTGCCTTTTGGTGTCTGTTTATTTGAGCATGTTCTCACAGCTGATTTCTCTTTCTCCCTCAGATTGAGGAATGGAGTAAAGTACTGCAAAGTCCTCCGGCTACCAGAGGTGAGTAAGAGTGCCTTGACTCTTACTTTTCTTTTGGCAGACTCTGAGGAGGTAAAGAAGTTAGAGGTAAAACTGAAACAGCAGTTTGTTTTGGTGGCAAAGCTCTGTATCTAGACCAGAAGAGATTTTTGATGAGCCAGCAGGATTCATAACAGGCAAAAAATCCTTGCAAAGATAAGGTGCACAGAGGGGCTTTCGGATCAGGACACCCACAGCAAAACTGTGCTTTGGTATTTATTCTGTCTTTGGTCTTTTAGATTCTCTGCATCCACTTGAAACGGTTCCGGCATGAGGTGATGTATTCCTTCAAGATCAACAGTCATGTCTCCTTCCCCTTGGAAGGGCTGGATCTGCGGCCTTTCCTGGCCAAGGAGTGTGTCTCTCAGATCACCACCTATGATCTACTGTCAGTCATCTGCCATCACGGCACAGCAGGCAGTAAGTCCTTCTTGTGGGTGTATGGCAGAAGTGAGCAAGAACAAGAGGAGTATGAGCAAAGCAGAAACGTGTTCAAGAGCTGGGCAGCAGCTCTTCTGAGGGAGCCTGAGTTTCATCTGCACTCTGAATTTCAGCTGCACCGTGTTTCCTGTTACAGGTGGGCATTACATAGCCTACTGTCAGAACGTGATCAATGGCCAGTGGTACGAGTTTGATGACCAGTATGTCACTGAGGTCCATGAGACTGTGGTACAGAATGCAGAAGCCTATGTCTTGTTCTACAGGTGAGCAGTGCTCTGCATGCAGCAGATCTGTCCTGCTTGCAGAGTACTCAGAAATGTGTATGGAAAACTAAGAGTAGAAGAATTGCTTCATTTTCTCTTCCTTTCCCTACTGAAGGAAAAGCAGTGAAGAGGCTGTGCGAGAGCGTCAGAAAGTTGTGTCCCTTGCCAGCATGAAGGAGCACAGTTTACTCCAGTTCTACATCTCTCGGGAGTGGCTCAACAAATTTAACACGTTTGCTGAGCCTGGTCCCATCACCAATCACACCTTTCTGTGCTCTCATGGAGGTAAGACGGTACTGCTGAACCCAGAAAAGCATCTTTCAGCTATGCCTGCCTTCTTGTTTTCTGGTGCTTTAACAAACACAGAAATAAAGCTTCAGCTGTAGTTCTGTCACAGCACATGCTGTTGTAGAATCTGCCTCGCTGGCAAAAGCTTCAGCCCACTCGAGAAGAAATGAGACAGTTGCTCCATTGTCCTGATCAGAGGCACAGAGGAATGCCTAGTGCTGGGAAACAACAGTATTCAATTCTCTGCTTGTTTTTAAAAACAAACCTGTAGAAAGCAGATAAAGCAACATTTATCTGTGTTACCCTATCAGCAAGGCTGTCCTTCAGTGTTTGTCTGCAGAATGGAGCACACGCTCCTGAAGAGACCTGATACCACATTTTTAGTGTTCTCTTTCATCTCTCCTGCCTGGGAGCTTTTGTGTTTGTGTATTCACAATAAGGAAGGAAGCACTTGATTAGAAACTAGTACCTTGAACTGAGAAACTTCCACAGTCAGTGAATCTTGAGTGATTTCCATTAGTATAGGAAGCAAATGCTGGAATCAGGGAGTTTTCAGTAAGGAAGATCTTTCTCCTATTTCTGTCTTTAACCAGCAATAGAATTCTGTTGTTCACTCTCCCTCTTGCCTTTCCTCCAGGGATCCCTCCTAATAAATACCATTACATTGATGACCTGGTTGTGATTCTGCCCCAGAACGTGTGGGAATATCTCTACAACAGGTGAACATGGCCATTTCATTCTTTGTCCCATTTTGTTTTCCTAGACATCCTGGGGTCTTCCCATATTAGGCACCATCCAAGGCATAATGCCTTACCATGACACCTCAAGGGCATGCAGCACTTGGTGTGGGCTGACAAGACTTGTGTTAGGGAGACCCTACTAATCTAAACCAAAATGAGCTGTATCAGTGTGCTGTCTCACAACAATACTGTGACCCTCACTGTGTTGCATAAAGTCTGTGCTCTTCATTCAGAAAAGAGCTGCAGGTGCACCTCCTTCCTCACTATCTGGAGTATCTGGAGTAGTGTAAAAATCCATCTGTGTAGGATTCAGGGCTGGGAAACACTCTATTTTCCTGCAGTTCTGCATTCCCCTCCCTCTCTTGTGCTCAGGTTTGGGGGTGGCCCTGCAGTGAATCATCTGTATGTGTGCTCTATTTGCCAAGTGGAGATTGAAGCACTTGCCAAACGCAGGAGAACTGAAATTGACACCTTCATCAAGGTTTGTATGGGAGGGATCTGGAGGCAATGGAAGAGTGTGGAGGTGGGAAATGGAAGCCTGTTGTGGATAAGTAGTGGAAAACTCTTGCTCTTGTTTTCCAGAATATGATTTACGTGAGATGGATTGTGGGGTTCCCCAGTGCTGTCAGCATGGGGAGGGGTAGCTGGAACACTGCCTGTGGATGCATGGACAAACAGCATTTGAAACTATCCTAGTCTCTTGCCTGTACTAATTAGTGGAAACAGGTGGTGGAGAGGGTGGTTGGATTGTTCAGAATAAGGGGCTGTTCTGAAGAGTGGCAAGGCTGCCTTACAGCTGAAGGAAGGGGCTCCCACCTGCCTCAGCAGTGACTCAGTCTTTCCTGCACTTCTGTTCTCTGCTTTCCCAGCTGAACAAGGCTTTCCTGGCAGAGGAGTCTCCAAGTGTCATCTATTGTATCAGCATGCAGTGGTTCCGTGAGTGGGAAGCCTTTGTCAGAGGGAAGGATAATGGTAAGAAGCCAGAGATTCGCTGGAGACTGTCAGTGCTGAGAGGTAGAATGAAAATAAGTTCATTTTTAGGTGTCCTCAGTAAGCACTGCACCTGATGGGTACAGCTTGATGCTGCATGGAATCTGGACAGCAACCAGTCAAAGTGCCTGCAGGTCCCTGGGGTGGGGCAGAAATAATGAGGATTAGCATGGGAAATGATCTGAATTGGGTGGCAGCATGGAAAGCACAGTGGTTCCAGACATGTTTGTTTTTTCTCTCACAGAGCCTCCTGGACCAATTGACAACAGCAAGATTGCACTCACAAAAGCGGGTGGCCACATGCATGTTAAACAAGGTAAGGCATGTGCTGCTGTCTTGTAGTGTCCTAAAAGGTGAGGGAGAATATTCCACTGCATCTGTCTGTCCACAAAGCAGTAACAGAACAAGATGGTGTTGCAGAGGAAGACAGCTCTCTGCACATCCCTGTGCTGATTGCCCTGAGTGCCATCTCTGTTCTCTATTGGCAGCTCCCATATGTCTGACTTGCTGACATGACTTAGTGTAGTAAACCCTGCAGTCCTTCATCTCCTGTTGTTGCTATTCCCACATCTTTCCATCATTTCCCCTTGCCCACTATTGTAGTGTTGCAGTTGACTTGTCTTTACTCAACATCTGCTGCGATCCAGCTCATGAAATAACACTGCCTGGGCTGTACTCACTGCACTGCTGTGCAGATGAAGATTGCATTTGTATCTTGGTTATCTCTCAAGATAAAAGATATACTGTGGGCTGAAGTGCCATGGAGCCTCAGTGGCTTCCAGCAGCAGGTGGCACTGCTGAGGGCTGGTGGGAGCGCTGCTGCTAAGGCTGCATGGCACAGGGCTTCGTTTGGACAGTGCAGATATGGGCACCAGCTGTGCTCTGCTCTTCTGGTACAGAGGGAGGTGGAGGGGGACGATGTCCTCTGTGATGTAATGCAGCAGCCCCTCCAGCTGATGGCTGCGTGTCTGCTTATTGCTGTTGTCCTTTTCAGGTGCTGATTATGGGCAGATTTCCGAGGAGACGTGGATTTATTTAAGCACCCTGTATGGAGGGGGCCCAGAGATTGCTGTCAGACCAAATGTGGCCCAGGTCCAAGAACTGGATAACCTGCATGGGGAGCAGAAGATTGAAGCAGAGACCTGGGCTGTGTGATCTGTGAAGGATGGGGCAGGGAAGGTACGGCACAAGTATGTGTGCAGATGGATGGGGAATCCTGAGGAGTCAAACCTATTCCTTTGTGTGGTACTCAAAGGCGTGTGCAGCTCCCACCACCACTTTGGGGAAGGAAGGTATCCTTGGCCATCCTTTCATGAGGTTCTGGATGTAGGGGTGGTACTATGAAAGACTGGGAGAAATCAGTTTCTCTGTAATTCATTTTTGTAGCCTCAGTGGGAAAAAAACTGGTGGTGAGATTGCAGATGGACTTTACTAGCCTGTGTTTTGACCTGAGCCTCTCCCTTTTCTGTGCTTACAAGAAATCAGCACTCTCAGCTTGTCCTCAGTAAACTGATTCTCTGCTCCTCTGCAGGTTTTGCTTTTGGCACTTTCCTTTTTTAACCCTGTGTAAAGATAATGAGATGCTATTTATGTTTCCAGTAAGCAGTGTTGCAACTAGAGAAACCTGTTTATTTGAAGCTAACTAAAGCCACGGGGTCTTCTGGTAGTTTTGTGCTGATGGTGCACAGTTGTCACAACTTCCTAGTTTTGCTCCTTATCTAATTCTTGCAACTTCAGTTGCAACTGACTAATTTTGAAATAGTCTGTTTCATTCTCCCCTAAGCCCTAAAGTTACACCTTCACCATCCTGGCAGGATTTTCTGCTCCTCGTATCTGATTTCATGTGTTCAGCATGTTTTCAGAGAACAAAGCTGCAGAATGAGTTCTCCTTCCCTCAGTACTATTTCCCCTTAAGCTCCTGGCAGCTTGCTAGATATGGGATGCAGCCTTACAGGTTAGACTCAAAGCTGTTCAATGGGCAGACTTCTTTGAAACAGGACATGGGACTTTGTTTGTAAGCCCAGAACTCCTTTTCAGAATGATCCTGCTGTCAGCACAGATCTGTCCCCGCATCTGTCATGAGAAACAGAGGATGAGTCGGGTCTGAAGAGGGTGACTGTATGTTTGCACAGAGTCTGCTCAGGTGGGCAGGGCCCTCTTGGAGCACTGGAGAAGGTGCCTGGCTGATCAGCTGGAGTGGCTTCAGGAATGAGCTGCTTTCTGTAGACAAGCCTCCACCTGTGTGCTGAGGTCATTTAGCTTCTCAGTACAGATGTCCTTTGTGTAGGCAGTTGCTCATTTAATGAATAGAAATAATGTGTTCCCTCTGCTGCTGTAGCTGTGGACTATAATAACAGCCAGCAGAGAGAGGCAGGAAGACAAGAAAGTCTGAACACTAGCTATCCCAGCAGGTCTGTTCTTCAAAAGTTCTTCCTTCACCTAAGACAAGGCCATAGCAAAACAGCATGCACCTGTGTGTTTCAGTGAGCTTCAATGGAAGCAAAGCTGGCAAGGCAGAAGGGACCTCTCTTGGGCTGAGGACCAAAACTGTGCGTTCACAGTGCTGGAACCTGCCTGGTTCCACAGCATCACACCTGGGCTCAGGGGCCCATGGAAAAGAGAAAGGAAGGGAGGGCTGCACTTTCACTCACAGATAGAGCGAAGAGAAGAGTGCAGAAGAGTTTGAAAAGGAAAAAATGTGGCCTTCAGATTTTGTTTTTTAGACCAAAAGATTGCTGTAAACAGCAAATCCTTCTTTAAATAAATCCTGTAAATGGTTCAGCATGTTAATTTCACTATCTTGTTTATTGGATGCCTGTATATGCCCAAGGGGAGGTCAAAGAATGAGCTGCTGTTGGGATTTCTCATTGTTCTCAGCTTTGTTCACCACTGCAGCCTTCTTGGAAGCTGCTGCAGAGCCTGTAGGGCTGCATGTCTGTGTTGTCTGTGCCGTTCAGAGGATTGTACAGATTGTAATAATACTCCTGTGCTTAAGTGTTATACTTTGTGCTGAAAACGTGTTACAATAAATATATGTGCATCCAACACACTGCACGACTGCTGCCTGCCTGCCTGCAGGGCCCAAGCATCTGACAGCTTCCTCCGTGTTCATGGTGCTAATGAAAAAAACACAAAAAAACACCCAAGCTTCCTGCTGCCACGAGGCCTTGCAGTAACTCCTGAGCAGTCCATCAGCTGATACTGCACAGTGGCAGAGGAGGGCGCCTGCTCCTCAGGCAGCCTCTGTGCACAAAGCCTTCCTGCTCATGATGGTTCAGCCAAGTTCATCTCAGAAAGGTGGGCTGGCTGGGAAGCACGTGCTATTTGAGAGCAGCAGCGTGAGGGAAGCCACGTGCCAGGGGAGGAGGCTGGAGTTTCTTGAGAAGTTCAAGCTTTCTAGAGCACAGCCTGTGCAGTTTTTGTCAGTGTTGTCAGTGGCTGGAAGGTTTCACACGCTCCCTGCTAACACGTGCATGTGTTGCTTTGCTCGTGGGCACGATGCAGCCAGCAGCACTGTGACTGCAGGCCCAGAAATGCAGTGCTCTTGGTAACAGGCTGGCACGCTCTGCCATGGCGAACAGCAGCGCTGCTGAAAGATGGGGGTGATAGAAATGCACCCTGGGGTGAGGGGCTGCAGGAGACCAGCAGTCGCTGCCAGCTGGGTGAATAACATGGCATTAGCTGGAGCCTGGGCTGCCCACAGAGCTGGGGCAGTAAGGACATGCAGCTCGTTCTCTAGCAACTTGAAATCAACCGTCAAAACTCGCATCTAGCAAACAAACGCCGTAACCTCAGCAACTGCAGAACAGTTTGTAACATTCCAGGAGACATTAACAAACTCCCTTCCCCAGGGATGGGATTATACAGCGTCTAGACAAACGCTGCACTGGCCAAACCTAACTTTTTGTTATCCTCTGTCCATTAAAATACTCAAAGCTTAGTTCTGCATCTATATTTCATTTGAAACGTGACATCATTGATGCTTTTCTCAGACCCCCACTGTAAGTGTCTGGTATTTCTGAGCACATCTCAGCACAGCTAGCTTTGTGACTTGCTGTTAATGTAAGCCAGATATTATGGCTGAGCTGTATCAGCTCAGATCTCTTGCTGACTGCAAAAAAAGGGGAGAGAACTGTTCATGCATTGGAATGATGTAGCTAGCTTCATGATTTTAGATTCTCTGCTCCCTCCCCCAGTCCTATGGAAGCAGCAGGGGAGGGGGGGTTGATTTACATGCGGTTCTCCTGCTCACAACTCCCAGGCTTAGACTGTGGTCTCATAGACAGACAGTTCTGATGCAGCTAAGACTGTGATACACAGATAACAAATACTCTGCACTAACCTGATCCCTAGAAAGGGGAATAGCTCTTCCTTCCATGGTGCACAGCCAGCATACTGGAATTTGACCCCACAGCTTCCCTTGGCCATCCTTTGCCTCAGCCTGATCCGGGAGCCTGTTGTCAGTGGTGCATCTCCACCCTCCTGAATGACCAAAGTAAATAGCATCCTGTACTCTCACACGTTCAGTAACACCTCTGGTGTTTCACGTCTGGTCTAGATGCTGCTCACCTTGGCTTCAGGTTCCTCTCTTCAGTCATTCTGTGCTGTTTCTATGTGAAGTTAGCAATGCTACAACTGGTTAAGATAAATCAGAGGTAGAGCCAGACTGACTCTCCCTCCTACTCATTGTTTTCCAAAAAGCACCAAGACATGGAGCACATCTCTCAGCTCAGTTTTCTCTCCGCTTTTGAGCATTCTTTCTAGCAGACTGTTTGATAAACAGAACTGATTTGCCCTTAACTGACTGAGGTGTTAATTAGTGCTGGCAAAGAACAAATGAAATTGTTAAAACAACAGTCTGACCGTAGACCTCTACAGAGCTGCTTCAAATGAAAGCATCACTGACCGTGAGCTGCACAGCTGCACATCCTCATGGCTCCTGGCTGATGCTGCTTCCAGTGAACTGAGCTAACAGGTGAAGTCAGAAAGTTTAAAACAACAACAGAAGAAAAAAACAAACAAATCCAAAAAAAACAACCCATAAAACCACACCACCTTTTTGCTAGCTGGGAAGTTTGATAAAACAGCATCTCAAAGAGAGACAGTGTGTCTCAGAGCCCCATTAGCAACTCAGACACCTGCATATTCCAGTATGAAAAACAAAACCAAGAAAGGAGTACCATGAGAATGCCATCATTCTGAATGCAGCAGGCTATCACACTGGTATCTGGCTAAAGCAGTGGGTCGCAGGGCCCTTCTCAGCTGGAAATGGCTGTGGAAAGGCAGAAAGGTCACTGGGGAGCCATGGGCCCAAAGCCTCACTCTATCAGAGAACCCCCAGCAGAGACTTTGCTTTTTTTATTGGGAAGAAAAGGAACAAAACCATTTTTCTTTGTCCCTGCAAGATGAAAGGGGTGCAGTGAAACCGTGCTTCTGGAATTAAAGGTTTATTTAAATATGTGGATGACTTTCCTTTCATTGTTACAAGGTCAATATTTGCTTTCAAATGGAAGCACTTTATTTGGTTGAATTCTGTCTCCAGAAACAAATGGGCAACACCAGAACCTTTTACATTGGCAATGAAATCACAACACTGAGATGCCACCAAAATCTAGAGATCGGTGCTCAAACACACATACACACACATATACAAATAAAAAAGTGCTCGACATCATCATGTTAAAATAGAATTTGGCTTCTTTTAGGTTTTTTGACACTTCAGGCAGGAAAAAATAACAAACAATATGCATCAAACTAAATGAACTTCTGAAAAATACTCAGCATTAAACACAACTTTCAGTATCAGTAAATATGTTTCTTCTCTATTTACAGATGTTAAGAAAGGGCATTAGAGACTTGCTGGGGACAGCAGGGTTTTGCAGGCTGCGCATCCCCACTTCTGGGCAGGAGAAGTTCAAGCAGAGTTTTTATAAACCAGTGCACATATTCAGTCCTTCTGCTTTTGTATAAGGTAAACTCGACCAAAGTTACCCGTTCTTTACCCTGAATGAAGGCAGCAGAATAGAGATTGTAGGATACGTGACTGTCCATTTTTCTTGTGGTCAGTTTGCAGATCCAGGCATCAGGGAGCTGCTCACCCAGTTTATAAAAACTCCATCTGTGGCCTTTTTATAAAACTCTTCCAAAGACAATCAGGCAGCTAAAGCTAATGCTCCTTCTACGGTGCTACTGAACAACACAGATGCTGCAACTGCCCCAATGCTCCACAGAGGCTGACAATAATATACTGTCCACCCAGATTCAATATATAAAAGCAAACTTAAAGTTTGACATAGATGGCACAATAACAGGTGAAAATGAACTCCCCTCGCTGCTGATTCAACAGTGCTTCAGACGCAAGAATAAAACACTACAGCTAAAATATTCTATGGCCATTCTTGCACAGCTGCTGGCTGCTTTACAATTCGGACCCCCAGAGGTGGCTGCTCACACAGCTCTGTCACACACGTGCACAGAGCCACGAGCACTGCTGCTCTCAGAGGCTCACAGATGCAGGGTTGTGTGATCCCAGCTGCAGGGATGAAGATGGCAGTTTCTGACTCCAGCAGCACTGTGCTGAGGTGTCAGCCCTGCCTGCAGCGCAGGCTCCACTTCGGTCAGATTAAAACATAACCTGGTGCTGGTTGATGCTTGCAGGCTGTAAGCAGTGCAGTACAGCAGCTCAGGACCCACTGAAGGACTGAGGGGTTTTTGCTATGGAAATTAAAAATGGGTATCTCAAATGGAAAGGGACAAAGCTCTGAAGACAATGCTAATTCAAAAAATGACTTCATCCCGAGCGAGGAAGACCGAGGCAAACCCCAGCATGGAGAGCAGATGATTCTGGGACACATTTCTACACGCTGGCAGCAGAACACCACGCTCACATCTGCAAACTACACCTGAGAGGGTTCACCTCAGGGTCATCAGAGCAGCTCCCAAATTTTCCTCAAGTTCTGGGGATTTTACAAGAGATGCTGAAGTTCCCTAAGAGCAAGCGGACTCCCCCAAAATATGGGTTGGTTTAAGGATAAGTAAGGTTGGGTTAAGGATAAGTAAGGCCCTCAGGAGCTACGAGGAGCAACGAACTCTCTTACAGGACTTAACCAGGTACAGGATTACTGTGACAACTTAGCAACAGTAAAGATTCAGGGAAACCAACACATTTGTAGTACAGATCTGGAAAGCAATTGACCCCTTTGTTAGGCAGCCTGGGTCGTGCAACGTATTTGGAGACAGAAGCATGAGGTGACACAGTGCAGCATCACTTCTGCTTCAGGTAAAACCATGTGAGAACAGGATGGCTGAGGGTTGACTTCTGGGCCAAGGTCCAGTCCATGACAACGTGGCAGAACGAAATACAGTGCAGTTTTCTTTTTTTTTCTTTTCTCTTTTATTTTTTTTTTCTAAAAAAATTCTGTTATTCAAACATTAACTGATGAGAACGCACAAGAGGTCATGCAAAAGAAGAAGGTAGGTCTGAAATGCTGAAAAACAAACCAACAAAAGAAAACTGCAAAGAGATTAACAACGAGCCACAAAATAATGTGGCCCTTGGGAAGGTGGGCGCAGGCAAGGCAACAGGGCGAGCATGCAGAATGAAACAAGAGCAAAATGGAGGTCTTTGTGATGAGCAGAACGGGGCTTCAAACCAAAACGCCGGTGTCTGTGTGTGTCTGTGTGTGTGTGAGGGAGAGGTGGAAGAAAGGAGGAGGCAATAAAGAGGAAGGGGCAAGAGAACAAGCAGGAAAGAAAGTGTACATACGTGAGCTTGAAGGCTTTCAGGCAACAGCAAGGTCATAGGGATTTAATACTTGGCATGAGCATCAGCCTAGATTTAAAAAAAATAAAGGCTGAAAAGTATTAGTGACTTTTTTGTGGAAAGAAGAATACTGAATGATGCATGTGGATCAAGTTTAATATCTGCCAATTCAGAGTCCAGTCCAGCTGCTGTAACACTGTCCCCAGGAGCAGCTTACCATGTGTATGCACCTCCTTTCCAAGTTGGTGAAACTACCTGCAGGATTAGTGCTAAAGGCACCATGTGAAATGCTGATGGACCAGTGCATACATTCAGATGGACTGAGGGACGAGGGAGGACAGAAGACAGACCTGCACATGCTTGGGCCTCTCCAGGTGCCCTTTGCATCAATGGGCAGCCAGCGGTTCTCTGACCAGCGCTGGGAGGAGCTGGGAGGGGAAGTGCTGGTTATTTTTTTTTATAGAAGGGCTGTGCCAAGCTGGTAGAAGAGCAGGGAAGGCTGGTAAGTTAATCTGAGCCACAAGTAGCATGCCATGGAAAAGAGCAAGCGTCTGAATGATACTGGGATGGAATTTAGGTCTGAATTTTTCAAGTGGGAACTCCAGACAAGAGTGGGTGTCTGGCTTTCCATGGGTATGTTTAAACTGCCTGCAGGGTAAACAGACCATTTTGTTTCTCCTTCTGTGACAAGCTCGCCCCGAGGTTCTTGCACCAGCACAAACACCTTTAGGAATCTAAAACATAAGAAAGACAAAAAGAAAGAGACTGGATTAGAAAGAGACTGGAGAAAAAGGGTTCCCTTAAGAGTAGCACTACCTGCAGGAGGTTAAAGGAAACCGAGCACCTACAGGGTTACAGAGGGTTAAGCAAAGCTCCTGAACTCAGGCGTACTTCCCAACACTCAGTCACCACTCACCCTCAGCCCTTCCTTCCAGGAAGCATCGCTGGATCGCTGCTTTCCCCTGGGACAAGGATGTCAAACCCAGGAGCAGAACCCTGCCAGCACTTTCTCAGCACAACAGCAGAGCAAACAAACAGCTTTTTCCGTTTCAATCTGCTCAGAGGTACTATATCTGCTCAAGTGAATGATACTGAAGAATAACAGGAAGCCAAAACACAAAGAATTTTGCAGATGAGCCCAGACCAGGCATCCCCTACACAGCAGGCCACGAAGACCCTTCACTCTTAGGGGAAGTGAAGAAATAAACAGGTAAGTGAAAGTCATCTTAGCCTCTGAACTCATGCTTCGTCACATTCCTGCAGCCACAGGATTCTGGCTGAGGGTGAGCTTGCTCTGTGGTCAAAGCTCTGATCCAGAAGTTTGCTTTGGCTGAAGACACTGCTTTATGGGGAGGAATAAAGGATGAGTCCAAACTTCCCTCACACTTGTGATGGGGGGACGGCTTTCAGGTGTCCTTTCTGCCCACTTCCACAGCAACAACGAAAGAACAAAGCTCCATATGGTAGCACAAAAAGAGTTTCCACAGAGCCACAGCAAAATATTCTTCCCGAAAAACAATTGCATTTCTCCTTAAGGTACCTCTGTGTGGGAAGCAGGTGAAAAGCAGCTCTGGGCCACATCCTTTCCATTAACAAAGTCAAACTCAAAAGAATAGCCATGAAAAGAAACTCACAGGAATGAGAAAATATAATGTTTATTAGAAGAAGACACCGTGGTACATGAAGCTATAAAGAGAGTTCTGACAGATGACGATTCTTTAAAAAATAAGAATGGAAATGGAACAACCACACTGGCCAGATTTAACAAACTGTGACACCAAAAGTTCCTATGCAATTCCAACCAGATGCAGACAGCTGAGGAACCAAAAGGGCTTATCAGCATAAGGACCGAATAGTTATCAAAACAACAGCTAAGTTAAGCAGAACAACAACCTATAAAACCATTTATATTTATATATATAAAATGATAAAAACAATTTAAATTCAAGTAACTTTAGTTTTTAAGTTATGTTATATACATATTTTTAATACCAGGAGAACTAAAGACAAGTATTTAACACAAAGATTGTTTTTAAAAGCCACAGTCCAGTTGCTAATTAATTACCAGTTCCTAAAGGATTTGGCAAGCATTAAATAATCAGATACATCCTAGATCAAAAGTGCATCAGCATGGTTAACTTCCACCTATTGCTTTGTGCAAGCCAAGGCTCGCTGCGGTGGTTCCAGCAAACAGCAGAGCACTGAGCTGCCCACCAACCAGGGCTGTTTGTGGAGCTGGGGGATGCAGAGGGAAAATGGAGCAGACATGGGCAGAGGAGTTGCCATGCTCACATGGCTCCAGACTCAATCTTTGTTCTTCCCTCCCCCAGAAGCATAACTCCACACAACAGTCCCTACCACTCAGGTCCCCCAGCAGCCAGCTCCTCTGAGGGCAGCAAGCATGGCTTTTCTGCTGGGTGCCACCAAAGTTTATCTAACGATTATTTCAAAGTTCTTCCGTGTATCACATTTAAAAGAGGGCTCTGCTCCCAAGCAGATTATGAGGTACCACATTTAATAACACAGGATGGTCAGCCTTGAGCACAAAGGTCCAAATGGTTTCAGTATCGACAGCCAGCAGCACCAGCACCTGCCAGAGCAGGAAAGCCCTGCAATAAGCCACACCAACAGAGCCCCGAGCAATGCTCCTCCACCCTCCCTATAGCAGGGAGAGCTTGGCACAAGCCCCAAAACACAACCATGTATCTGACAGATCCAGTTCTCAGTCTGAACGTTTTCAGCACTTCTACCAGTTTCCTGAACGCAGCGCAAAGGGAATGAACTGTGTTGGCTCCCACTGGTATCAGGAAGGACAAGACTGCTGTTTACAACTAAATTCGTGCCAAGGGGCAGCGCTTCCATCGGCAGTGATGCACATTTAAATTGCAAGGAGAACTTATACATGCATCAGCTGAGCGAGTGGCACCTAACAGAGTCCTTCATTGATGGAGACATGCCACGTGCATTCATCTCTTCTAAAGAAAACCTTCTGAAATAGATCTCTTAAAACAGCAGTAGCAGCAAACCCGCAGAACAAAAGGTGAACAGGCCTATGCAAACCTACTCAGAGATTTTCTGAAGTGATTTGTACACATCTGGAAAAAAAAAAGAGGCAGAACAAGATAGACGTTACCGTTCTTTTTGTGACAGGGTTTGCTAACACCCTCCGGCTGGAGTTTACCATTGCAAACTGTACCAGCAGCCCTCACACAGCCCTGAGCTGGCTCACGTGAGCAGCACACGCACAGGGGTGGCTGCAGCACACAACTTACCTGTCCTACCATCCCAGAGGCACTGCGGCTTTGCTTGGGCACCTCACCTAAGTGCTCTTTGCACAGCTACACCAAGAGCTGCCAGCTGCCCCAGGGTCTTTTTGAAAACAGGGATTGAAGCGTGTAAATGCTTTAGCACTGTCATTTTCAGGAAAGGTGTCGTTTCCAGTTTTAACAGTCAAGGACTGAATGAAGTCCTTCTACAGCATATTAATATCAAGTGAGAAAACTGCAGCTTGCCACAGTTTGCCTTCTAAATGCAGAAGCATTCCCCAGAAATCTTTATGCTGCTTCTCTGATGTTTTATGGCAAGTTTTCCATGTTAAAATATGGAAATTTCTTAGCTCACTTCCATTAGATAGTCACACGCACAGTTGATTTTATTCTTAAAGTCCAGCAAAATTAACGGGAAAAATAAAAGATCTGAACTCCTCCCAGCTGTGTCAGCATTCACTCCCAGCACAGACTGCCCTGCATCACTCAGAGAGCGTGCAGAGAGCCATGCCTGCTACTTCTGACAGATGGAGATGCCACAGCAGCTCAGCTGCTTCAAGCAGCCTGCGTTGCTGAACACATCTTCCAGCAGAACAATAATGTTGCTTTCAACCACTGCCACACACAGAGGACACAATCTCCAAGGGAGAGAACACTGAGTTATGACATCTCTCATTCTGTGCTGTCTTGTCCTGAACGTGAAGCAGAGAAAACATACACTGCAAACCCATCTTTTAAAGGTCAACCAAAGGAGACAGAAGGGCCGAGTTTACTTTTGCATCTCAACTGACTGTATTTGCCAAACATAAAACTACTATGGCAAAAATCAGACCTAGACTTCCATCTGCAGCAGATGAGGCACACACTGCTTAATACTGAACCCAGGAAAAAGTGAACTGATCAAATTACAGTGTTTGTTTACAGAGACAGCTCTCTTCTCTCTCCACTGTCCATAAACCTCTATGAGAATGGTTCCCTTTTCTTTTAAATTGGACGAGGCAGTTTGTTTCACAACAAGAACTTTAAGGTTCTGGAAACAGAATAATCTGAACGATTAAATGACTGCAAAAGAAATGCATAAATTGTTTAACAGTGGACTTCAAACATATCAATTTGAAACAGACCTAAAACTTCTCAGTGAATTATATTACCAGGTATTTACATGCTAGCATGTATCCTACCCAGTATTCTCCTGTATGCACTGCTTGCTTACAAAATACACATATCTGGGAGGAGTCAAAAGCAACTAAGAAACAGAAGACCGTCCAGTTTAAGCTCAGAGTGCCTCCATTGACTGCATTTAAGCAAAAGACCCATTAGTTATGGGTCATCAGAAATAGCAAATACAGCCAAAAGACCATTTTCTGAAATGTATCAAGACAGGAAAGAATAAAGGATTTTCCTTAATGTCGATGTTTTAATGATTTATCAAGGATCACAGAGTGCTGTGTAGAGAGGCTTTGGCAAGACTTCTGCTTCCCCTTCCAAACACTCTAACTAAATGATGAGCAGGTTTCAGTTCCAAAGGTCCTCATTAGGCTCTGAAAGCTACCACGCTGAGACACAAAACACCAGGCTACATATTTCCTAATTAGCAATCCACTGGATCAGTTTGGGACAAACTTGTGAACATGTCTGAAATACCCCCAGGATATGTAAGGAAAACCAGCAATATTTCCAAATGGCTTTGTGTTCCCTGCCCTAGATTGGGTGTGCAATGGCAGTGACAGTTGAACAAGCACTTCATAGGAAAGGCTGCATTTCCCCTCTACCACACTAGCCTTCTCTGACCAATAAAAAGCATGTTTTGCAGTACAGCAAGCCATATTAGTCCATGTATGAAATAATGCACTTTGTGGCACTGTACAGACTTTTAAAAGGCTCTATATGCAACGCAAAGTTGCAGGGTTGGGTATCTCTGTGAAAGCAAGTAAAGTAATAATAATATTATTAAATATAAGTCATAGCACCTTTGGCATTTTTGTCCAAATAGACTTCAACATAAGACGTAGGGACATAGCCCTCCTCGTCTTCGTTCCTTCGGATTCGTGTCCACCCATCACCTTTGTCTTCTTCTATTACATACAGCATTTCTCCTTCTGCTACAGAAATTGTTCCTTCATTCTGACCTGAAAGACAAAGTAACAAGGATGTTAAGTTGCCTTGCACAGTAAGAACCACGGGTGCAGTACATGCTCATGGCACGTAGGAACAAAGAGCTGCCATCCTTTGTTGCATCACTAGAAGTGTGAACAAGAATATATGATTCTGGAGACAACAGGGTGCAATCAAAGAAGGAACATCATCTTGACATAAGAGCTGCCATAGGAAATGCCAGCACCACCATCATGTTATCATTAACCTGAACTTCACAAATATTCTTGTAGCTCATGTCCAGCTGTTACAGCTCCTCTATTGGAAAGCAGTGATTGCAGGCCAGACATTTAAGTACCATAGGCAGGCTAAAACTATAAGGCATTGATTGTAACATTTATAAGAACTTACTTCAGCTGAGTATCATAACCCCAAGTTATGTAACCCTTACATAAGTTTGTCCTCACAGCAGAACTCCCAAACACGTAATGTATTTTTCTACCATCACATGCTCAGGTGATAACACAGCTTAAGCTTAGCCCTCCCAGCTCAAAAATTCTCATAGGAACCTTCAGTAAGAATGGGATGAAGTACACTGAAGGAATGAAGTGCACAACACGGAGCACAATTTTATTCCCTCGCTATTTCTCCCTACCATTGTAGGGATGCACAGCTCTAGATTTGGCTCTTCTTCTTGCAGAAGCCCTGCAAAATGCAAGACGAATCACTGCCCTAGAGCCACCAGAAAACAAATAATGCCAAAGCCTCACTCACTCCTTCATTGTCTATTTAAGCACTGCAGAGGTTAAACGAAGGTTTCCCCCTTGTCATAGGAAGCAAACAAAGCAATAAGTAAAAGAAGAGTAAAGACTGAATGATACCTTCAAATGTATAGAGAGCTTTACATGTTCCTATGGTTGGTAGTGGTTCTTCATCGTCAAATTCATCGTCAAAATCTGTTGCAGGTACTTTCATCTCAGTCTCCTGACTTTGCTCTTCTGTGTAACTGCCATCTGGGCTGCTCAAGAGAGAAAAATACAGAGCAACTATAGCGACCAGCCTCAGGAGCAGGGAGGGTGGTTTGTTTACCCAGCACTTCAGGCAAGGTGAGCAACTCCAGCTGGAGCAGCTCAGCAGTTCCACAGAATGGTCAGGACAGGCTGTTACCATTAGCAGCTGTTGTAATGCAATGGTCATTTTCCTCTCCATAATAAGAAGAACCTATCACACTTGCCTTCACAGCAGTGACTGCAGAGGCCATTATATTTAGAAAACCAGCTCTTAAAGGTGGAATATTCTATAAAGCTAAAACTAGTGTGCAAAACTCATCACGGAGCACCTGCCTTCAGCTTGGTCACACAGTCCTGAATACCGCAGAGCAAGTTTTCCTGGTGATGCAGCTAAAGAAAGCAAGTTCAGTTATCAGCCCAAACAAGGCAGCTCTGTACAGATACTGTACCTCTCCCGGTCCTGTGCACAGCTGTTCACTGCTGAAGTGTTCTGGGCTTCGTACAGCCCGCTCTGCCGCCGGGCCTGCTCAGTTCGTGAGGGCAACCTGCCCTCCACCTCGGCCAGCCAGCCCTGCCATTGAAAAGCAGCAGTGTCACATCACTGGGGCTTACATTCACAACAGGACAGACTGCTACTCCGGTCACAATGAAGTAAGACGCGCAGCAGCTTATGGTGGTCTCAGAAATATCAGGAGAAAAGCTGGGGAGGTTTTCAAATGGGTAAGCAAGCAATCGACAGTAAAACAAATGACTGTAAGGAACAACATGAACAGGCTGTACATCTTCATGTTTGTGGCCCAGCTTATAGAGTGAAGCCTTTCCTCAGTCCTATAATCCCTCTGGTGTTAATTGTAACGGGATACATTTCTAATGGATCCTGCTTCCAAATACTACTCATGCTTCTGAGGTTCTGCACCTCTAAAAGCTTCTTGTTAATGGCAGGCTGTTCCATAAAACGTGAATCATCTGATGGCTTCTGTCTTGCTATTAGACTTCAAATGGTGTTTCCCACTTACATTCCTCCAATTTCCCACAGTCATCTGTAGTCTGATGATGGTCGTTATTTAAGCAAGCATCTGAACCTCTCTAGGCAGTCTAGAGAATCCTGCATTTTTATCTCCTCCTCCACTTGGCATGGATTTCTGGGCAATTTAAAGAGCACTGCTGTTGGCTGACAATCACAAGCGATGGTGCTTATTTATGTTACAGAAATAGGCTCAAAGATCTCAATTAATGTAAGTGATTAAGTACCACTTCTCCACACACAAAAATGGATTGAAGCATTTTTTTTTTCTATCTGGAAAAGCACAGAAGCACCTACTGACAAGCGTGCATACACTGTGCTACTTTTCATCAAAGATGTGTGCACTCATTGAGACCAACATCACATTTATAACCCTCCCCATACCTCAAATTTCTGCACTTCTAATCGTAGCTTTTCAATGTTCTGTTCAAGTTCTGATAACCTGTGGTCCACACTCGCTGCATCTCCCATCTGTGGGTTCTTGATATACACATCTTTCATTTTCGTTAAGGCATCTCTGAGAGACAGAAGAAAAATAAAAGTTCCTAAATGAATATCATCCCAGTTTTGGGGGGAGACAGACAAACGGTTGCATCATTCTTCTCCATCGTGGGCTGAAATCCAATTGAGTAACTGGGACAAAGAGCAGAATGCAGACATAACAGTAACAGAAATGGAGTGATAACCAGAAACTCTCACCCTGCCTGTTGCATTTTGCCTTTTGCAAAGCTGATAGTTTGTAAGATATTTATTTCGCACTGCTTAAAAGGAAGCTGAATCCAGATGGTTTGCATTTGTCACAGCGCAGCAACAGATGGACCTCGGGCCACATAACGCGACCCTGCATCCTGTTAAGCTACACTGTATTTTTACCAGACTGTTTCTGGGGGCTGTGTTTCATATCAACCCAGATGCCAAGTGCCTACGGTTTCAGAGATGTTAATATTAGGGCCCACTATGAGGAATGCAGTACCATAAGACCAATGCTGATATAATACATGCATGAGATCCCTTAGGGAAGCCTGCGGAGCTTTCGTTGCCAGCAGTGTGCTGCCTTTGACCTGAAGCACGTTGAACTTAAGGAAAAAGTTATCTGCATGATGAAGGTTTCAGAGCTCAGAGATGGATGGGCTTATGAGCTGATTTCCTGTATTTCTGCCACAGCCATTCAGCTTTTCTCTAGGCATTACTTGGGGGGAAGAAGGTTAATGTCAGTCCCACGACTCAAGTTAACACTCTTTATATTTTGGAATTTCCCACCAAACTCCTGACAATTGCAATCCTGTGCCTGCTTTTGCTTTGTGCAGAGAAAATGAGAAAAAGTGTGGGTGGCAAGGAAGTGGGACTGCTCTGTGGTTGAAACCCTAAGGGACAATATTGCAAACATATGAGTCACGATGATTACTACTCTTTAACCCTTACTTAACTGCTGGTGTTAATTCCCCAATCACATACTATGCTCATTTTAAAATAGCATAATTCTACTCAGATTTCATACCAGATTTTAACACTGAGTTACCTCAGAATCAATACAGAAGGGTAAATCTGTACAGAAAGAAATGCAAGTTACCACAGAAGAAAAAAACTATGGAAAGTAATATAACCATGTGCAAACTTCCTTTCTCATTTATGAAATAAGTGATGAAAATAAAACAAAATAAAATGATGAAAACAGTCTGTCAGCAAACCAAAATTAACAGGTTCTTCAAAGGAATCTAGCAGAAAACACAGGCACATCCATGTAAATGTGAAGCAGTGTTTTGGGATGGACTAATAGCCATGAGGCTGAGTCTTAAAATCTCTCTGGGAAGAAAAGTTCTGTTTTTCTGTGTGCTGAATTTTTAATGCAATTGCAGGAGCCAGAATGTGAACAAACACTGAAAGCAACAAATACAAGCTGCCAGAATCAATAGAAAGTGTGTAACTAAAATGGTCTTGTTCTCAACCACAGCGATAAACGAAGCCTTGTAGAAAAAGCATCCACAAAAGCACTGGACTCGTATTTCCTGCTCCCAGGAAATGTATGCTACAGATCAGAGCCTTAAGATATACACCAAACAATCAGCACTTTGGACAATGTTATCAAGCTCATAACAGCCTCATTTGCTGGGATATACCCACGATCACATTTGCCCATCAAACATTTGCAGGTGATCTGCTTAGTGTTGAGAGGTTTATGACTGTAACCCTGATTGAGACCATGTTTACATCCTGTACTAACTAAAACCAATCAAACAACAAGCAAACAACCCCCCACCATCACACCCAATTCATCAGTAACAGCTCACATCACACACACAAAAATGTCTGTGTATCCAACAGCAATGCTCGTCTTGCTCATGACTGGACTGCTACTTTCCTGCAAGGGAGCTCTGACTTACATCAGCCAAAATTAAATTACTGATTACAGCTTCAGCAATAAATACATTTTTAGCAATAACTTTGTGTCTTTTAGCAATAAACTTTGTGTCTTCTCTTGAAACAGCACCCTAGAAAACACTATAACCTTATTCTTATCAGTTTTTATGTTTTAGTTGTTTCAGTTGATCTACTTCATTTTCTATGGGAGGAGCTGGCTTACCTTTGATCCATCTCCTTCTGAATGTCTTTGTTTAGCTCATCGACTTTTTGCTGAAGTTTCTTTCTTCTTTGCTCAGGTGGGAGATTGCTGAAGTCCTCTGGCCCAGCTCCCTGCAGAGTGGAATGGAGGGGAAAAAAAATAAACAATCAGAGTCTACACGAATCTTTCACGACTGCATTTTGAAAATAGCTCACAAATCTGTGAAGCAATCACAATGGTCTGAAGCATTGTTATCATCTGTGCTATGAGTTATCAGCCCCTGAATGGTTGGGAATCAGAATGCCTAAGAAACAAGCCCAGGACCACTTCCTTACCAAGTGGCTAATGGGAGATCAGCAAGAATGCCAGAATTCAGTGGTAAAGCTGAGAATCTACTTTTAACCATAGCTAACACCAGATTTTACTTAACAGGATCTCATTCTCATGGAAAGCTAATCCTTCTTGCTTTCCCCTACTCCTCTAGACACAGCATCCCCCAAAAGCAGTTGCTAGCTTCTACTTCTGTGTCATAATCATGCTTCTTGAGCACACTGTTAATTGCTGGCCCACTCTTACTCATGGGTGTCCAACCTTCTGGCTTGCCTGGGCTACAAGGACTGAAGCAGAACTGTCTTGGGCCACACATAAAATATATAAAATAGTTGATGTATATAACTAAACTCCTTATATTTGTTATATTTTTTTAATTAAAACATTAAAAAAAGAGCAGCAAAAATGAAACTAGTGGGATATTTGACCTTCTTTTTGTGAAACTAATGCAACAGCTTGGTTCGATGGAAGTGGTTGCAGTTCTTAGTTCTCAAGGTGTTTGTCAGATTTTTAATTAATTATTACTGTCCCTATGCTTCATCCCTGACTACTCTGATTTTGTATAGCAGGTAGACTTACAACCAGCTGAATCACAAAAGAATGAAGGTCTTGTACATAAGCCAGAATTTGCACACGTTTCTCCTGTCTTGGTTTTCACCTGTTTCATGTCCCGTTTCTAAGGAGAAGTACTGGCATACGTGAAAAAGAAAGGGACAAAATACAAAGCTGAGCATCCAAATTCAATAGCCCATCAGCTTACTAGAAGGCCGTGAGCCAAGCTGAAACATTAGTTTTACTAAAATGCCAAATATCTCTCTGAGGGGAAAGTGATTTAGGGGACACTCTGCCACAAAGACTGCCCATGAGACCCCTTCAGTTCTGTGCTGAAGGTGCACTCTGAGACAGTGCACTCTTTCTTCTGCATTTGCAGAACATGCTACTTACAGCAAAGGCACGTGGGTGTCAGAGGGGTGGAGAACAACTCCACACAGGTCACCTCCTCCACCTCCTGCTGTTTGATTTCAATAAAGCAGATCAGGTTGGTGTAACGAAAGTGCTGCCATGTTCGTGTTCAGTAAGAATGAACACATGCATCTGAGTGGAGGCCTGATCCCGTGTGTAATAACACACATCAAGTTCTATTTTGTGAAACAATGGGAAAGCAAATCTAGCACAACGCAAGAAATAAGTTAAACTAATTCTAAATCAGCAGCCACGTGCATTCCTGAGAGTTCTGAATTACTGCTTACATTGCTGTGCGTGGCATAGGAGATTTCTATTTTAATTCATTCCTTAATGCTGGCAGCACTTGCTTTGCAGTAACTCCCACGTCACATTAGGCTGTTTTAGTATATTTTACAGTCAGCCTGCATGCTAAACCCATACATATCTTTTTAAGGCAGAGCATCTGGATGTAGGTTTGTAAATAAATGAGCAGTTAACAGAAAGACTACATCAAATATTCTTTTCAGTTCTATTCAGAAGAGAAAGAGATGCTTGAAAACATCCTCAGTTATACCAGATGTATTCAAAGCAATCTGGAAAAGCTCTTCCTTTTCTATACTTCATTTCAATTGAGAGCTCTAGGCCAGATTAAATTCGGTATTTGTGCCCACAATGCTTCAGACCAAAGCATCAGTGTTGTGTAGAAATGCATGCCTGAGACTGGGTGAACTCACAGAGACTTCATTCCATGCTTGGTAACTTCCCATCTGAACAGCTGCTACAGGTCCTCCTCCAGCAGGAAGAGACAAGGAACAACTTTTGCACATGCTAGGCACATTTCATGCTCTCAAGCAAAAGATGCTGGAACCATCTCTCAAGCTGTAAACATTGCACGTTTTCTAGAAATACACATCATCCTGATTTGTGCAATTCTTGGGGGAAGGCCAGGCCGGCCGTTTGTCTGGGGATGATATATTCCTACACATGGGAGGGCTTAGCTCAGCTGCGCTACACAAAAACAAGTGGAAATTCTTGGTATAAGCACTTGGGACTAATAGGTCAATGGATGGCAATAGCCAAAAGAAGAAGATTTCCAAGTGAGCCAGAGATTTCCACCATTCCCCACTTCTACCACAGGCCTCCAGAAGTGCAATACTGCAAATGAAGAGCAATGAGTGACTGCGCTGTGCAGGGCAGCAGCAGGGCCCCAAAACCTCTGCAGGCACACCACAGCTACCCCAGGTAGCTTCCAGGGCACACACCTCTCCTCAGAACAAGCTGCTAGGGACAGAACAGATCCAAAATGATAAATCCGTGGACAATGTGTACGTAGGGAGGAGTAACAGGGAAGGAGCACCTAAGGCAGCGACTGGTGAGGAAAAAGAAAACTTCCAACCTAATGCAATTAAGGAGCTGCAGATCCTCTGAAGCTAACTGCCACCAGTCATTGTGGCTCTGGAATGAGTGCGTGAACTGGGGCAGAACAGCTGAGTTCCCCCTGGAATCACAAAGGGCAAAGGAACACCAACCATCTACCAGAGACATACTGAGGTGTGGCACATCTCAGGCAGCACAGAGCCTGCAATATCAAATTCAGCCCAATGTGCTTTCCCAAATAGGTCCACCCGTTCCCTTCCAACTCAGTAACACGTTTCCTTACCGTAGCTCAAGCAAACTTCCCAGCTGCATCCGAATCGAATTTGGGGTTCATATACATAACATTATTTGCAAATTCAAATCAGACTGAGTTAACCTTGTTGGTTACGGTTTACAGAATTTTAATTGTTATTAGTTATTCTGAAGGACTACATAGGGCTGTAAAATGTAGGCGACCGTGGTGCAGATTGCCAGTAAACACCTGGACACAGAAAGCAAACTCTGTGGCTATGTCACAGTCACACCAAATACATGCATTTCTCTATGGAAAAAGTCCAAACAGATCTTGATTTCTTTTAACGTCTCAATTTATACTTACACAGTAACAGAATTACTTGATACTGTTTTTCTACATTTTCATAGCCCTAGATTACAAAAATGAAAGCTAAACTATGTATTAGAATTAATTTTTTAGCAGCTTATTAGAAAGACTGAGTTTCGATCACCTCTATTAGACTCCAGACCTGCGTATTCAGAGTTATCTGATAAACAGCAAAAAAGCAAACAAAGAAGAAACAAATTTAACAATTTCAGTGTCATGTCATACGCGGCACAGTGCACATTCAAACACACACAAAGTTGTGATTAAAACACAGGACAGGCATGCTGAAAATGTGCTTACCAGCTTGAGAGAAAGCTTCATGTAAAAATTGGAGAGATACAGGGTGGGGGGGAGGAAAGAGAAAAAAAAATACAACAGAGCATCAGTAGAAGAGGAACTTTTCAGAGTGCTGTTCCAATAACATGACACACATTGCCCTCGCTGGATGGGTAACACTGACAGATCTGTGCAAAAGTTCACAAGAGGGTCCAGCAGCACTGGGCAGCTGCCATGGCCTCGCCTGGAGCAGAGCTGGGAGTGCTGCCTGTGTGCTTCTGTACGGCAGGCAGAGCTCTGCCTGGGCTGCCTCAGTACTGCTTGCTGCAAGGAGGATTTCCTCACTGAATTCTGAATTGCAAAACAAAACAAAGCACCTGTAAAGGCGTGCAAGTTGCTTCAGATCGAAAACGTGCTGCAATGCAGTCACAAGCATCAGCCCCTTTGTGCAGGAGCAGGGAAGGACAGCAGCTAGCTGCAGGTAGGGAGAGCTATGGCACTGCTCCTGCTGCTAAAGGCTTGCTGGGGCCTCTGGTCATTTCCAGGAGACAAAGCCCAGCTCGCAGGCATGTGTCCAAATGACTGTACTCCCAAATTACCTCCACTGCTGCACACAATGCTTTCTGAGCAGTCACTTAAGCCATTTGGTGTTCTTAAACAATTCATACAGATACTTATCTCAAACTTATTTTGGCCACACGGTCAGACAAGGTCAGGACCAAGAATAAGGGGAAAAAAAAAAAATCTCTTCACACCAAATTGATTCTATGGCAGCACAGCAAGACGTTATTCAAGCTACTTAAATGATACACATGATCCAGTCCCCAAAGGTTGGCACGTTCCCTGGTGCAGAGCCAAAACATCATCTTTTAGCTAATCTGGGAAAGGAAGAGAGTGCAAAAAGAGAGGTGTACATTAAAAAAATGACCCACACAGCAGCACAGCTTGCCTCTGTGCTACATCACTTACACGTTGGGCTCTGAGCAGTGCTGGAGGGCCTCAAACTGACAGGTGAACAAAATGTGCTCAGGCAGTCAACCACCAGAACTACCAAAGCTCTCTGCCAGTGCTGGAAGATATTATTTATGTTATTTCCAAGAGATTGGAGCCTACCAGTGCCTTTCTGCTTCGTGCCAAGGAGCACCAGCTGACTGCTGCTCAAGGTACAAAACCAGACTAAAGGGAGAATCAAAACTGCACTTAGGCTTCCAGCAGTCCTCACTGTGGCTGTGCTACCAGCATTGTGGGCTGGTGTGCAGCGAGCTTCTAAATGCATAAATGCATGTGCTCTGTGTCAAAGACAGCTGACATGAAAATGGGAAAACATCTCTTGCCCCAGGCCATAATCTGTTGTCAGACTTCTGCACACCTTGCCATTCAGGAGTTCTCTAATAGCAGCACTGACAGCTCCTGGATACAGAGCTCTCACAAACAGATGCTCCATTTTTAGCAAGAGTTCTTTTGGGTTGGATTTAAAATAAAGGTGGCTTGACACCTATGATGTTTTTGACAGCCTGCTCAAGAAATACTCAACTTTCAAATACGATTGTCATTAGTCAGCAGAATTTATGCAGTAATACATATCAATAATTCAAGGGAAAT